GGGGGGGGGGGGAGAGGAGAGATTCCCGAGGGTGGAATCGTGGGGTACCGTGAATGGAGGAGAAAGACAGAAAGGAGACAACAGGAGGGCAAATTAATAGTTAAATAGCGATTAGTAAAACGCGTCGAAAAGACGGGCCAGTCCTTTTTTTCTCGTTTTTTTTTCCTTTTTTTTTTCTTACTCTTTTAGATTCTACATACGTGTACAGGTCGCGCGAGGACAACTGGCATTTAAATAATTGAATACGTGCGCGCGCGTTTGCGCTTGCGCGGGAGGAAAGTGCCGGAGGGAATGTCCTCATCCCTGATCGAGAATCTTCGACGACGGGGCACGCTCGAGGATATCCCGAAGATGATCGATATCGTGGCAAAGAGATCGCACGGAATCGAGACGCCTCTCTCGATAATGTTGCCTCGTGAATGAAACTGTCCTCGCGAGGATGTCCCTCGAGGACGTTACGCGCTGATGTGATTATCGTTTTGAGTCGAACGGTACTAGGACAGCTTATTGCTCGAGGACGCTTCGAGGAGCGGAAAGGCAGCTCCTGCAGAATCGATAGGACATCCCCTCGAGTCGCTGTCGATAAAAATAGTGTCGTCCTCGAGAGGATATCCCTCGAGGACGTCACCAAACGACGTCCTCGAGAGGATATCCCTCGGTGACGTCGCCAAACGACGAGATTGCTTCGAGTCGAACGGTCCTCGATGGAGTATTGCTCGAGAACGCCTTCGAGAGGAGCAAGAAAACAGCCCTGAGTCCGATCGTCCTCGATAAGGTATCTCGCGAGGATGTCGCGAGGACGCTCGAGAAAGTTAATCCTCAGCTGGGAGAAATCTCCAGGATTAAGCTCAGAGCGCTTGCGAGGGCTACTTCGAATTAAAGTGAGTCGTCCTGAGAGGCCGAGGATATTTCGAATCCATTGCGTTCTCAAAGGACAAAGTATCGTCCGAAGACATGTTCTGTTGTACTCGACACCGCGACGGCAGATCTCTCGACGGATCGGCAATTGCTCGGCCACAAAAAGGCAACTAGCAGAAGGCGGAAGAAAGAAGAGAAGATCGACGAGCCGAAGAGGACTCATCGATCCTGCTCGAAAAGAAACCTGGCCGAGACAACCGTGAAGGTTTGAACCATAAAGAGAGACGGCGAGTCGTACAGCTCAATGAGCAGCGCAGATCGCGAGACCCACGGCACTTTTCCTCCCTGGTGTCGGTACGGCGGGTAAAACGAAGCATTTAATTCCACGAGCGACGAGCGTTCGCCGGGAATAAGGACTCGTGAAGTCCCTGCGATTAAGGTGTCCTCCCCGAGGCGGGAGGATCAAAATAAGACAGAAGAGAGAGCGGGCAGAGAGCGGACGGAGAGGAAGGTGGAACGACTGCGCGAAAGTAGAGAGACGGAGAGGAGAGGGAGAGAAGAAAGGAGGATTGGGAGAAGCGACAGAGGGTCGTGGCGATGTGAGTCGCGGGGATGCGAGAATCGTAAGTTCACGGGGATCAAGCAGGCGCGTGTCATCCAGAAGACGCGGCGAAGCCCTCGGGTGTCTATCGTATTACTCACTTTGTCCCGAAAGCTTTACACTCGGGAGAGAAACGCGCCCGGAATGAATTCCGGAAGGGGAGAGGGCGAGTCTGTCTTTCGAAACGGCTCGGAGCACGCATAGACAACGACGCTCGACCGGCCGGCGGTCCAAGAGCGAAGAGATGAATCCCAGATTAACGAATTCGAGCAGATCGAAGGATACGACCAGGGAATTCCCGAGGGCTCGCTCCTACGAGGACTCGCGGAAACGGACGAATCGCGTCGGTCGGCTCCCGACGGCTGATTCCCCGCGACTCGCTGCCGCGACCAGGTAGCAAGTCGGCAGGAACTCTCCTTCTCGCGTCCTGCTTCTTTCGCGGCGCAGCTTTGCTCGTTCTTGTCGCTCGAGCGAGAGATCTCGAACGATGAGAATCGGATCTCAGGCTAGGACGTAAGAGAAGCTAGCGCAGGGGAAACCCTCGCGATCCCGTTTAGGGGATTAGTAGCAGGGGGAGGGTGGTATCGGCGCGTTCTAGGCGCGAGCATCGACGAGCGACAGCTCGTCGTCGCAGGCCGATCTCGAGAATCCCCGCGTCTGTGAGAGAACGCGAGAACTCTCGCGAGAAATTCTCGCTGGTTCCTCGACGACGACCATCGCGACGAAGACGACTTCCCGTGCGGGCGCGAGTCTCCCTCGCGTGCAGAATCGCGATTTATTATTCCAATAAACACACTGCCGACGTATCGTGCGAGCGCGACGGTATCGAAAGCGGGAGAAATTGAGAGAGCGTGTACGTTTATGGCGTGTATGTGTGCGTGGGTACATGGAGAGAGGAAGAGAAGAGAGAGATGAGGACGATGAAATATGTAAAAAACCAGTAGCGGTATTGTCTATTGTATTGTGGTCGTTTTTGGTCGGTATCTATCGGAAAATTAATTGATTGTAAAACGTCGAGAGAGAGAGAGAGAGAGAGAGAGAGAGAGAGTGAGTGTGATATAACGATTGTAACGAGTTGATGCGGTACTGCGCATTCCGATTATCCTAAACGTACCGAATCGCATCAACTTGATACTATAGTTACTGCGAAGATCTTTCAGTAGTCTCAGTTACCGACAAAACTGTTACTGATGTCGCGTGAAAGGTGCCGGGATTGAAAGCGACGTAATGTCCTTGGATTCTAACGAGAGGAGCTCGCTTCTGCATACTGTCCCAAGTCCATTTCTCCGAATGCACGTGACATGTAGGTCGCGAAGCTGCGGGAATCTCGCGACATAACTCGCCAAGTCGCGACTCGCGCTTGTCAACGATATGGATTTAAGATGGCTGAACAAGTTGGCTTTTCAGCTTCTCGCGCCGAGAGGCGCGGAGGAGCGAATCGCCGTGTGTTCCCTCCTAGAGACTGAGAGAGAGATGAACGCAGGACGAGAATTGCATAACGTGATGAGACTCGAAAACTCATCGGACCATACATTACGCTCGGGCTCAATGCGCAGTGAGAAAAGAAGCTGCGACGGCGAATCGAGACAGAAGAGAGCAACGGATCGTTCGTCGCGTAAATAAATACCTCTGATTATTTTCAAACGCGACTTGGTAAAGGGAGACCGGAGACGTATGGTGGGAGAAGGGCGAAAGGGCGCACGGTACACATAATTAACTGAGTTCTGAGTGTGATTTTAGATTAAGAGATTTTAGCTAGACCGCCAGTAGTAGTTCACACGACAATGTCGGACGGAGATGTATTCGCAGGTAAAGCAAATGAAGATTTTGAATGCACGTCTGCAAATGTGTGCACGTGAGATGTGCAAGATAACCCACACAGTTTCCGCGAGAATATGCACCAGTAAGTGCTACTAATATATGCAAAATACTGTACGCTGATATATGTGGAAGTTCACATACCTTGAGTTTGACGCAGACGGAAGAGAAGTCAATTTCAGATGAAAGTTACATTTCAGTGCGATTAAGAATGATTAAGATGCTCGTGTTTAAAGCCGCGTGTTACCCATGAACACACTTCGCCCGACATTGTTTCACGACGATACCTTACCTAGGACAAAGGAGTGAAACATGAAGTAGTAGATATTAGCGATTTAGCGCGAGACACGCCCGCCCACAAGCTACTCGTTTTGGTTCTCTGTCGTCGA